GGATGGATTTGGCTTTATCGAGACAGCTGATCATGAACGCGAGCTGTTTTCCACTTTAGCGAGTTGCAGTTTGACGAGCCCAAGTTGTGGCAGGAGGTTTCCTTTACCGTCGCAAAGCGTCAAGGCAAAATGAACGCCCAACAAGTTACCGCCCTTCCGCGTGGCACTCTGGCCAAGGAGGTAAGCATTTTCGTTGTTTTTTTTTCCCCCATCGACTTTCTTGTGGAGATGGAGATGTGTGTGCGTAGGTTTGGTTTGGACTATTTGTTGCATTCATCGTGTCCATTGCACTCTCCCGACAGGACCCGTCCGACGAGATCTATACCGGCAAAATCACTCGTCTCGGGACCGGCAACGAAGACACAGGGTCGAGCTCCTGTGGAGTCATCGCATACAGCGTGGGAGATGAACAGTGCGAAGCAACGTTCTCGACCACCTCGCTTCGTGGCAAGCGTTTCCGCAAGAACGATACAGTCAACTTTCGGCTTGCACCCAATCGCGTGACGGGCAAACCGTTGGCGGTTCAAATTTCCAAACTCAAACAGCTGTTCAGGGGCCGTGTGGAAAATTTGTGCGATAATTATGGATTCCTGGATCACCGTACGATTTTTGCAGTCGTGCAGCCGTCCGAGGACGGTGGTGCCGCACCCGATTCTGCACCTTCGACGCCTGTTCGTGGCGCAACACCTGTCGCCAACTCGACTGCGGCGGCAGCCTCTCCCAGCGAAAGTAGTTCTGCAGCTGCTGGTGTGACCGTCTTCACCGAGCCCCTCTTCTTCCACGCGACGGGGGTTGTTGGCGAGCAAGTGCGCCCCGGCGATCTAGTCGAATTCGCCGTGGACGCGCAATCTCGGAACAAGCGCACTGCCGTCCAAGTGCGCAAAATTGAGTCGGCCGAACCTGCACGCCGTCCCGCACGACTGACGACTTCCACGCATCTGACATCATCGCCCACAAGTGGCTCGCCTCAAGCAGGTGCGTTCAGCAACGAGAAGCGCATGCTTCCTATCCGTGCGCCCAAGGGTCCTGACGGAACGCTCGGATTTGCCTTTTCCCGAACTGTTGCCGGAGAGTTGCCCGAGACGCTTCCAAGTGGCGTGACTGTCACCGAAACGCAGCCCTCAGTGGCTTTGCCGTGATTGGGATTCCAAGCCAGGCTATGTGTTGGGATGATTGGCTTTTCTGCGCTCTCTCATTGTCCAATGATCGTCGCGAAATCATCAGTCATTCATTG